GGGGGGGGGCACTTTCGGGTAACATTCGGATGCTTTTCCGATTGTCCGAAGGAGGCGTCCACAGTACATTCGGACTTTCTCCGGGCTGTCCGTGGGTCGGACTAGTCCGATAGACGTCCGGTTGCGAGCTCCGGACAGTCCAAAATCTTGCTGATTTGACACACTTTCGGTACTGTTCTCGGCTAGTTCCGGGATGTGTTCTCGGCAAGGTCCGATTATCGGACTGGTTTCGGTACGAAATATTTTTATAAGGGCGGTTTGAGCTACGTACCTGAAATTTTTAGTGTAGCTTTGTATCACAAAAAGCAAGAACTGTATTGATTTTCAGCCCTCTAGCTTGAAAATTGGCCTGTCAAAAAAATCAAAAACAAAAAAACCCCAAATATTACTTTTAATCTTTTATTTTTTTAACACCTTCCTAAGACGTAACTCGTCAAAGTAAAATCCTATGGGCCAAAATTTTGTCCGTTTGGCTCTATATCTAACCGTTAGGTCGCCAGAGGGCGATTTCCACACGAAAATGACCCCAAACCATTTTAATGTTGTTTCTCAGATATTTGATGGGCTCTGGTGGGGCAACTCGTCAAAATGAAATCCTGGGGGTAAAAGTTGTGTCCTTTGGAGCCGAAGGCCTGTCTACGACTCTGCCTTTTGCCCGACTCGGGTGTCAGCGCCGCAGGCCTAGGTAGACGTATGCCAGGCGCGTCGTAGCGTAACAGTGTTTCGTGAGATATCGCGAAGCCTGTTACGCGAGACGTGGTCTGGCGTACATCTACCTAGTATTATAATTAAACAGGTTCTATGTTACATCTTGTGACATAATGTTTCACTTGTTTAGGCAATCCCTGTAACTTGCGGAAAAGAGTGGTTATCTTTAATCAGCAGGAAGCGAGGGCATTTCTGAAGGCATGTAGGCCTCACCGAGCATTTTTCCGGAACAGCAGATACACACCCGACGAAGTCTATGATAAAATTGCTAAGGAACTGGCTGAGATGGGTTATAAGTACTCTATCGCCGAATTAACAGAGAAAATGAGAAATCTGAAACACCAGTTTAATGAGAAGAAGAAGACTAGGACGCACAGTTGGATTTATTTCAATGACATGCATCACATATTTGATGAAGAAATATCTGCAGGTAACATTTGTTTTTGAAGATAGCCAATGTTATTGGTGTGTGTCACATATATGCTCATTACATTTGTCTATATTAATCAGATTCTGAAATGATTGGAGAGGATAATTTTGTGGTCAGCAGCAATGATAGTGTTCTAATTGTTCATGAAGAAATTAACAGTGGTGACAATGGTAATGTTTGTAGATTTTTTGACCTGTCTTTTTTTTACTATGAATATCTGTATCAATATTGTATTCTGAATCCCTTTCCAGTTTGGGTGCCTGAGTTTGTCATGAAAAGAGAGAAAGTGTCGTCATTGCTGACGTTACGACTACCTCATCTGAGAATGGTATGAGCTTAAATATGCATCAGATGGTCCAGCTCAACAATTTTTTTCTCAGTCACCTATGATGACATTGTTTCCTTTTTTTTTCATTTTCCAGGTGCCCTGTGTACTACAATTTCTCTTAGTGACAGTGAACAGGATATAGGAGCAGAAGCAGTGTCACTTTTGGACTCTCCTGAGATATCCTTATGCCCTGATGACAACTTGCTGGCCATCTTAAGTCAATCAAATATACTGCCTGAAACAGACATTAACAACTGGCAACGTTCAAATGAAGAAGAACGAGAAAGAGAAACTAATTCTGTTATCACAGGCACTGAACAATGTGGCACAGACAGTGATGATCATGGATTTGACATGAATGGTACAGAAGGGCATGATATACCTTTGGAGGAACAGGCAGAAAATGATGATATATTTGTCACGAACAATCTCCAGTCATCTTCAGGAGCTGGAGCCGAGAATATTGTCATGTTGTATCAAAGAAATGCTGATCAATCACAATTATTTAGGACTCCTGCAGCTGGTATGGGCACATTTGTGCTGTGTGTTTACTTATATTTTTAAATTCATAATTAATTTAGAGCACCTTTTTTATTTGTATTTTACTGTACCTAGGCTCGTCAGACTGTCATTCAACGCCATTTGCTGTTGCATCTGGCTGTCGAGGACGTTTGGATTTCAGTGGCATCTCAGAAATGGGCCTATTAACTCCTGATAATGTTCCAACTGAACTAGATGTTTATTCTGCTTCTGTCATTACTACAATGAAGGACTTAGTGGGAGGAGCTTCCCTTCAGCTAGTAAGTATGCATATGACTCTGGAAATTGCTTCGATTTTATACTGAAGGAATCGAATAGGGACTGTGCACTTTAGTGTTGTCCACTCTTTCCTATCTCTTAATCTCTTACTTTGTGATATGAGAAGTAAAAATCTTCTTTACAGGCTGCAGTACCTCTGTTGTCAATGGTACAAATTATAATATTGAACCACAACCTCCTGTACAAGCTAGAAAAAAATCATCTTCAGGTGTAACTTCATCTTTTGACAGTTTGTATTTGTCCATATTATTTGTTTCTTATCTTTCACTGTAATTAACTGTTTCAAAAAGTTTTGTAACACATATGCTCTCTACTGCTCCTAAAGGCCCCGTACCCAGTCCAAAGAGGAAGCAGAGTATGTTAACCACTCAGCAATGGCCTGCATCTGCAACGCAGATACTTGTTGCTGAGTGCGTTGCACTCAAGAAATCAATGCAAGTTGAGGTGGACAAGATTCCCTCAGCTGTGTGGAAGACACTTGTGGAAGTGCTTGCGAGAGCGGGCTTTAAAGTAACACCTGCTCTATGCAGGGACAAATTTACTGCCATGAACAAGTACTTTACCAGCACACTCATCAAAACTGATGGTGTCATAGCGGGAAAAAAGTGGCCTCATTAATGTTGTGCAATTTCGTGATTTATTTCGTTTCCCGCCTCGTCGGGTCGCGGCCGAACGCTGCGGCCCGGGCTCGGTTCAAATATCCCGCGCACGCACACCCGTGCGGGCGCGGCCTCAGCCGTCCAGCCCAACTGCCGGCCGGCCTCAGGATCCGCCGCGGGGCTTGGCGGGGCCCGCGGCGCGGGGGCGGCCTGCCGTGGCCACCCCGAGCCCATCCCGGGGCTCCAGACACAAAGGCGAGTACCGTAAAAAGTACTATTGCCAACTCAACAACCGTACTAGTCATTGTCTCGGCCTAGAGGTGTGGTTTCGCGGTAAGCTCTCGGCCTGACGGGACCCGATCACCCGAAGGGTCACGGGGCCGTAAGGGTTAAAGGTTAGCGCTCCACCGCGGCGTTGGCTTTAGCTGGCGCCGGTGATCGGGCTGACTAGGGGCGGTCGGAAACCTCCCCTGGCCCAGCCCTGCCTCAGACCAAAACACTGCCCAGTAAGGATTGCACATTTACATATTTACGATGATAAAAAGTGGGTGTAGCAAGTATGAGATCAACCGCACAAACATTAATCAAAGTTAAGGGACTGCAAAATGAAGTGCACCAGCTGCTGCTGCTCCTGTACCAGCTGCTGCTGCTCCTGCACCAGCTGCTGCTATTGCTGCACCACCTAATGCTGCTCCTTTAGTGCAGGCAGGAATTTGCAGCATCTGTATGGTCACACCATACCAGGCCTTGTTGAACTGTGGCCGCTTTTTCTGCCTTGATTGTGTACGCCAACTGAAAGCTCGAAAGAGACCATGTGGCATCTGCCGCAGGGCTTTTAGGAAGTGGAGGCCCGTCTTTGGTTAAAACATTTTGGCTCCATTTCATATTACCTGTAATACTTTCTGGAATCATGTTTTTACTATTGGCTCCATTCATATTGTGTGTATAACTTTCTTATGTTTTAACCTTCTGGCTACATTCATATTACATGAATGACTTTCTTTTGTGTTTACAATTTGACTCATTATTACCTGTATGACTTTCGTTTGTACTATTTGTGTGACAATATAACAAGTGTTTTGATTACTTTAAAGTTGCAATCATAGTGACCTTTGAAATGCATCTCACATTTCTTTGCAAGAACTGAGTATGTCAAAATGTTCGATATTTGGCTCTCGAAAAATCGATTCTGAATTCTATGGTTGAACTCCGGGTGCATTTAAATCTGCAGTTTTGATAACTCCCATGGTGAGTTTTTTAACACAATGCCACTTCCAACACATTGATGTTCATCCTTTTCCCCTTAATCTCTGCGAATGAAAGAAGGAATCCTACATCCCGGGTTGTCTTATGCTTAAGTGATCTCTGAGTCACCATGCTTAAAAACTGCAGTGTCAATTACATGCCATTTCCTTTATTAAAGTTTTACTTGTGTGACGCAATGCTTACACATTGCACTATTTAGAAAGGGTTTTACAAAGGGTTGGAAGATAAAAATGCTTGCTACACTAAACAGATTGAATTTATTTTTTACTTCATCACACAGATCATACACAACTCGCTCTTCAGAGAGGAATCTTCTTTACAGCGAACTTTGTCACTTACACCTTGGCACCAATAACTAGAATTAGAAATCACACAATTATTGCAGTTATTGGTTACAAAATACACACGAATAATGTGCAATAAATCATAAACTTTTGATGGACAGCGGCGTTGAGACCAACTGGGCACAGGTGGTAGAATTTTTGGGAGGTTAGGATGCGCGCTGTTATGATGTGGCTGGTGAGCAAATTAAATAAATGCACATGTCAAGACGTGTCGCGTGATGTTTGTGACACTTTAGGAACAGTGAATTTATATGCGGGTGATTTTACTCCATCTTGAGGCCAATTTAAAACAACTATTCCAGATGATTTTGAGTGTATGTAGCAGACGGATTGCTCACTGCCGTTGGTGTCGATGCCAAACAACACAAACACAACCGGGTGATGGGTTATACAGAGAGTATCGAACTATCGCATGGCAAAGTCGAGAGTCCCCGAACCCAGGCCGAGCCGGGCCGAGCCGAACAGATCCGAGAGTCGTGGCGCAGCTGGCGCACCACAGCCGCTCGACGGCGTGGTGCGAACAGAGACTAATTCAGATATGAGTTAATTTACTTAAGTTAGTGAAATAGCGTAAGTTATTTCACTTACCCTTTTCCAGGCCTGGAACTGCAGTTAGGCAACACGTTTGCCCTCCTTATTGGCTGTCTGTCTGTAAGCAAGATAACTCGAGAACGGTTTGAGCTAGAAAGCTCAAATTTTTATTGAAATTTTGTATCATAAAAAGCAAGAACTGTGTTGATTTTGAGCTCTCTAGCTTAAAAATTGACCTGTCAACAAAATCAAAAACGAAAAACTCTAAATATTACTTCAAAAAAATATTTTTTTTACATCTTTCTAACTCGTAACTCGTCAAAGTAGAACCCTCGGGGCTAAAATTTTGTCCGTTTGGCTCTATCCATCTATCCATCCACTGATTAGTCGACAGAGAGCGATTTCCACACGAAAATGACCCCAAATCGCCCCAAATCATTTTAATGTTGTTTCTCAGATATTTGATGGTCTCTGATGGGGCAACTCGGCAAAATAAGGGGCCGTTCATATACTACGTAGTTCATTTTGGGGGGAGGGGGTTTAGCCTTGCACTACGGTCGGTCACGGAGAGGGGGGGGGGGTAGGTGCTGGTCACGTAGTATTCGTCAAATTACCGTTTTGGACCACCAAAACACCGCGTTGTTTCCTCTAATTCGTTCAAGTGCTCCCCTTTCGACTAAAATTTTGTCCGTTTGGCGCCATCTTTCACCGGTTGGGAGCTAGAGTGGGTTTTTCGGAAAATCCGGTGAAAATGACTACGCTGTACATACAGACGTGCAAGGAGGCGCCAAATCCGAAAATGACACAGGAAGTACCACCCTTGAAACAACACATTTTAATTCTACAATTGTCTTTGGATTCGCCGTATCTTTAAAGATTCTGAAGCTATTCTAGTTCCACTGTTGTTCCTGTTCCTAAAACAAACAAAAAAATGGTAAAAAAATTTGCAGAAAGAAAATAAATGATTGAAATTCTTTTCTACCCTATTTTTTGATGTAATACATACAGTGGACTCTCGATAAGTGTCGCCTCGATCGATAAGTGTCGCGTGCGAGAGAGATAGCTATAGAAAAATAGAGCGTTCCATGCAGACTGACTGCCGGCTCCGGCGGCTCACCCGACTCACCTGCCGGAGGAGAGGGGAGAGCGGAGCATGGCAGCAGCCAACGGACAGTACCCTCGATAACTGTCGCGGCGACATTTTTAGAGAGTCCACTGTATCTCGTATTTCAACTCAAAGAGTAATAAACCGTCGTTTCCTAGCTTGTGCGCTATTTTTTAGG